AAGCGGTCGTAAAAGAAAATGTTCGTGGCCACAATATTTGTATGCCTTCTATTGTGTGAACGTTGTGGGGTTGGGACGGGCAACTCGGGTACTCGGGTCGGGTGGGTACTGAGTAGGACCCGTGTACCCATAGGACTACCCGGGCCCCTGGTTAGTCACGTGATATATTGTTTCATGAAAAAAAATCACTAAATAACAACATGGTCACACGACAATTTTAAGTATCTAATGTTCGCATTTCTTCATGACCATGAACACGTTCCTTCTGACTTATTTATGTTTGAACAAAGCAAAAACTTCAGTCAACTTCAGTGTATGCATGCCCACATCGTTTTATACGTGTATCTAAATACATTCTGCCAGGGCTACGGTCAAACTATTCCCAATTGGACATTTTGTACCTATCTCTTGACACCAACAGTGGGTACCCGGGTAGGGTCGAGTAATAGGGGTGTGGGTATCCGGGTAGTACATTTGGACTCGTCCCAACCCGAGCACGTTGACATTCTGTGTGAGCGTCAGTCATCCTGATTCCGGCTAAAATAAAACGATTGTGTTTTTTGTTTATATAAAAAAACATGTTTCCCGGTTTACCTGTATTCAAACAGAAATGCATCATAAAGTAATCACATGTCTGTACTATACGATGCGAGATTTAACTAGACTCGGTAGTAAGCGTGTTGGCATTGATCTGGATAGCGTCATATTAGTCCGCCATACAGATCCTGAAAGAAATATATCCAATAGAGCCCATGCAAGTCATTAATAGTTGGCAAGTCTAGATTACTGCAGTCTGAAAATGAAGAAAGTTTCTGGACTCCCTCTTGGTATTTTTTATCGTCATTATTTAACAACTGTTTTTTCGGCAAAAAAACCAACTCATTTCTGATACTTAAAATTAGTTTATATATAGCATCCAGTGACTTTTTTCCAAACTTGAAAAGTGCAAATTGTGCTTATAGTTGCAAGATGAAAATCTAAGAAGTGATTTTTTCCCCACTGATTATATTGAGATTATGTCTCATTTTATTCGATTGACTATTTACAGGGTGGATAGGCTGCGTTGATAAACAGCAACGTTGGCAATCACAAACATCACTCTCGGAAACACCAGAAGCCAATCTAGTAGTGTAGTACATGCATCATCTTGTAGACAGACCTCCAGCTCATCACGCGCAGGTTGGGATATAGAACGTATTTAACCACGACAACATTGTCCGCGGCCTGGCATTAACTAACAGAAATTGTAAGTAAAACACCACTTGGCCATAATGGAACTTACTTTCATGTCTTTGATGATAGAATAATTTGCCGAAACGTGTGTCGCCTGCGTGATTAGAGCACGCGAATACCACACCGAAGAACAAGGAATGTAATCTTCTGTCACGGCGAAATGAAAATTCTGTGGAAATGAGAATGATTATTTCCAAACATCAAGACGTGTAGTTTATGCTTATAAACGATGATACTTCATACTTTTTCAGTATGTCATGATCTGTTACGTTAAACATTGAAGAGCTTTTCGTGATAAGGGTTATGTTTTCTCATAGAGGGTTCATCAACATGAGCAAGTTATATAGAGGGAATTCATAAATATTCTCCAGATGGCCCGAAATTAATTGTATACTTGCCCCCCAAGCAGGCGTTTCATAGAGCGATATGCACGCGCGCTTGGCTGGGGTAACATATTTCACGTGAATCACGCTGGGACAAATCAGAGTGTTCTCACACTTAATCTTCAAAGTTTTGAAACAAGGTTATCACAACTATGTTCAACAATGGAAAATCTAATTTATGATTCTTCGAAAGCTGTCCATGGTAGAAATAGTTTCTGGTTGACAGAAGTTTAAAACGTAGAAATATAAAATATGAAATAACAGAGCTTGTTTGTCAAAAATCTGGCAGACTGCCACTTGCAGTGCCGTATTGGAGCGTCACAAATCAGTGTTGAGAACCCCCAACTTCCCATTTTAGAAATTCAGAAGCCAGAGTGGACCGGTAAACCCTACGGCGCTGCGCTTTACAGCGAGGCCAATTTTGAACGGAACTCCACCGAGCGCCAGGCATCGGGAGCCCCACGCTTATAGAACGTGTACCTAACGGGACAGCTTGACTGGACAGATCAGCCGGAATTTATCAGCGATCAATGTTCAGAAGTGTCAACCAGACACACGCTCCGATAGTGGTGGTCTCACTCGCCTATATAAACCGTCCCTTTCCCTCAGAATTTCGAAACTTGTGTCTTGATTATGCATTTGACTATAAAATCAGTTTAAGTTTAATATATGTTATCAACAATAATATGAGACAGTTGATATTGTATATACAATGTGGTAAATTAATAATACGCGGTAAATACCCTATTGTTTAATTATAATGCAGAATATACATAAAACAGCGAGATCTGAATTTCAGATATCTTCGGCCATTTCCGCTCTCATATACCGGTGATGAGCTGCAGCTGTTACCGCATGAAAAAAGATCCGGCAAACTATTTCCTAACTCCGCCTTTATAATTGGGGGAATTACCATTTTGCGAGTAGCGATTTGAGATTTGTAACTTGCAAATTGTGATAAATAGTTCGATAATTTCATTTTGGTTATTGTACTTAGAGACTGCACATGCATCGTATACATGAAAATATTATACTTGAGAAGGAGACAGGTTTTATCAAGAAAACTGGAGTGGACAATTGGGGAGCCAAAATGAAATAAGGACCTTTACCCACATGTCCTCAGTAAAATAATATATATATATATATATATATATATATATATGTGTGTGTGTGTGTGTGTGTGTGTGTGTGTGTGTGTGTGTGTGTGTGTGTGTGTGTGTTATATTTGCATTTTTGGCCTCCCCCTCCCCCCGTAACTTTAGCGAAGTAGAATGTATATCAATCCTATGTTTTGGTTGTGTTTCAGTTTGCTTCATTACGTTATTGCCATATTGCCTTATTAAAATAAAATAGATACAGCTGAAGTTTGTATCCAGCTCCTCACTTGACAGTATGCCAGTATAACTCCCACTTCTGTAGGTGTTTTAGACTAACACTTAGCCTTGTGATACACCACACATTCAGAAATGCCCGATATTGACCTACAAGAATATGATGTCATTTGGTGCAAGATTAATGTCATTGATGGAATCATCAAAAGGCAGCAACGACAAACGATGATTTTAACTAAAATGACGATATGAAAGATTGACGAAATACTGGCTTATAGACCCATGTGTACATCAATAATGTGCCGTGGTATAACTGAGTGACTGAATGTTGTTTGAGGCCATTGTCAGATACATTCCAGATATAAAGTAACGACCTGTAAATGATCGAGCCAGGACCTGGATAGGTGGCGGAGAAGCACGAGTAACGATCCTCACCAATGATACACAATCAGACAATAAATAGAACCTTGACCACCCAATCCTCCAGTGATATTTAATCGGTTCTTACCACAAGCGTGGGATACTATAGGGACCTATTCTTCCCCAGAATCTCCTTATGTAGACTGACGCACAGTCTCTGAAATTATATAGTCTTGATAGGAGCCCCAGTGAACCTGTGGAAAATCTGGACTTGCTCCATTACATAGCATGGCAGTGAGGGCTGGGCGGAAAGGAAAATAATATGGTTCAGGGACTGTGAGACAGACTAACCCCTAAGGGTATGTATGAACCCATCCGTGTCAGAGGTCTCTGATCCGTGTGAAGCATCTTCGCGTGTCCTCCATGACCATGATGTGGGTACCCCAGTCTCAGTGTTTGGAAATTGCCGATTGCTGACGATGCGGGCGTCACAGAGGTATTATATTAAAACCACAATGTTAATGTATACTGAACTAACATTCTCATATATCTTCCTTTCATTTATGTAACAGGTATAATTTATACAGACATTCAATACAAAGACACCAGTCTGGAAGGCGGATAAGAATACGGCGGTTTATATAGGCGAGTGAGACCACCACTGTCGGAGCGTGTGTCTGGTTGACACTTCTGAACATTGATCGCTGATAAATTCCGGCTGATCTGTCCAGTCAAGCTGTCCCGTTTGGTACACGTTCTATAAGCGTGGGGCTCCCGATGCCTGGCGCTCGGTGGAGTTCCGTTCAAAATTGGCCTCGCTGTAAAGCGCAGCGCCGTAGGGTTTACCGGTCCACTCTGGCTTCTGAATTTCTAAAATGGGAAGTTGGGGGTTCTCAACACTGATTTGTGACGCTCCAATACGGCACTGCAAGTGGCAGTCTGCCAGATGCTTTTTGCCAAATTAGGCGTATTATTTCCTATTTTTATTCCTACGTTTTATATCATAATGTAGTGAACTTCTTGTTTTCATTAAATATATATATATAACACTGGATAACAGAGGATGGTGAACAAAACCACTCAGTGTGGGATGCGTTTTGCCACATCATATTTCATGGTGATTAATGCTTCCATTTATTGGTCACATAGCATATCACTTGGACACATGCTTCTCTTCCCTTTAAACGGTATTTCAGTTACCGTATGTCAGGGTGAGGAAGCTTGACGTGAAAGGAAGGCCCGAAGTGTTTTTGTTTGCTTGTTGTTTAACGCCGCACTCAGCAATATTCCAGCTGTATGACGGCGGCATGGAAATAATCGAATCTGGACCAGACAATCCAATGATCAATATTGTGAGCAACGATCGGCACGATACGATGACACGCAATGAACTGAATCACCGAGCCTGACCACCCTATCCATTTGTCCGCCTCTTACGAACAGCTATAGTTGGTGGGGACCAATTCCAACCCCGACGGTGTACCGTGTCTCATGCAATGGGATATAATCTCACTGTTTTAATTTTGTGTTAAGATCTGTTTTTCGACGTGCATTTTGACATATTTGTAAAAGTTATCCTTATCAGTAGCCGATTTACTCAAGCCGAGTTTCAGATATTTATCACCCATATTAAGTGGTGGCATATTTCCTGAAGGTGGAGGCCATTTAACAAACGGACTGACACAATACGATGTTTACTCTACAGTTTATTTGCGAGTTACGTTTAATCAAGTGCTGCTGAAGATTCCATCGTGACGTGTCTTTGTCACGTGTTACTTCAGGACTATCAGCCTTTTAGTATGACTCGATGATTATCTTTAAAGGACTTCTTAGCACACACCTCTTTGTTCATTTGTATAATGACTGGAGATAGCTTTGGTCATCCTTGGTAGTTTCTTGGAGAGCAGATCTTGACTTGAGACGGTCTAAATATTCCCTGATCTTTGGATGGTTTTGGAAAAGTTCCCCGTCTTTTAGTAGGGAGCAGACGTAGATGTCGTACCCCAGTACACAGTCGGCAGCGGTGATTCTGAAACACGTGATTGAGTGGATGGGTGAGCTGGCAAGTGAGTGAGTGAGTGAGTAGATGGGCTATATGGCGACAGAGTATATGAGCGAGTGAGTGGAATTAAAAACCGTTATGAACATATCGGGCGTACAACGAAATGTCTCTTACGGTTGGAGAAATGTCGAAAGCGACGTCTTGAACGTATATCACGATGATGGGTATGTGTCGATAGACAGTCGGCGAGAATTTGGGAATCACGCAGATGATTAACGGATCCATCTTGGGCTGTGGCGTAGACCACTGGACGTCCGTGCCCCTCTACACCAGTAGAGTGTAAAACGCGGTACATGTCTAATAAGACGCGTCTCTGGACTTTTGCCCCACGTTAAGATGTCACGCCGTGATAGTACACTGGAGTTATCTCCCTTGGGGATGATGCATGGTAGATGTCGCCTTGTGTCTTTGTTTGGTATAACCTCAAGTTATATGTTCAATATGTTCCAACAATTACTATTATAGTCGAGTTACTGTTGCGGAATTAAATTTAAAATATTGTGTTATGTCTGCCGGAGAGGATACTGTTCAAAGCAGAATTAAAACTCACTCACTCACCTTTTCACTCAAAACATAACAGAATATATACTGTTGAAACAAATCGTATAGTATCCCTCTCGTCACATCTGTCATACGACTCGCGTGAGCAAAAGTACTGAATGTTAATGCTTTGAAATATAACTTAAGTAAACTATAGTTTATGACAGACGCACTTGTCTCCACAGAGGAAGTCTCTCCCCTCCAGTCTGTTGGAGAGATGGTCCAGGCAGGTGTTCAGCTTGTCTCTCATCCTCGCCTGTCTCTCCTCTGTCTCCGCAACCTTCAACAACCACATGTCGCAAAAGAACTCCAATAGTTCGTCCAGGGTTGAGTTGGCGTACATGATGAAGCTGAAACACCGAGTCACACCAAGTAAAACCGAGCAGCACCGAGTAACACCGAGTCTCACTGAGTCACATGGAGTAACACCGTGTAACACCGAGTAACAACCAGTATCACCGATTCACACCGAGTAACGACGAGAATCAACAAGTAACATCGGGTAACACCGAGTAACCCCGAGTTATATAGTCACATTGAGGTACACTAACACCAAGTTACAGAGTAAAACCTAGTACCACTGAGTAAAACCGAATTACGCCGAGTGACACGGAATAAAACTGAGTAACACCGAGAAACAGCGATAGAACCACCTGGGATATAATCACTAGTCGGATATTTAGGGTCAACGTACTCGTAATAGTCCTTCCTGTCCTTGGGGTCCGGCACGAGTTTCCCGTATCTGTCTGCCAGGTACATGTTGATGGCCCCTGACTCTAGCATGGTCCCCTCCCCGGGGATGACCAGGGCGGGGATAGTTCCGTGAGGGTGGACGTCCCTGCGGTAGGCGATGCTGGCCGCCTCATCCATGTTTGGCTTGTAGTGGATTAGCTTGAAGTCCTCTTCAACACCCATTTCTGTGTATATTGAGAGTGTATAATTGGTTTATACGTGACGTGACTTGAAATCAAATATTTGTCAAAATGTCACAAGGTTATAATTAGGCTAGGAAGGAAGGAGACCAAAGAAACAGAAATACAGAGTATGATGTATACATAATATTAACTGAAACAACACATCTTTTGCCATGTTAAACGGACCTTATCAATGTGTTGCTACAACACATAGAGAAGTTACCAAAGACCGCATTAATTGGATGTGGAGTCGGATGTGATATGGAGTCAGGCAGCACATGGAGTCAGATGTCAGGTTGAGTCATATATCTCATTACGTCGGTGTCAACGTTGAGGCAGTTGTCACATGGAGTCATGTGTCACATGGAATCACATATCTCATGGAGTCAGGTGTGATATTGAGTCAGATGTCACGTGGAGGCAGTTGTCACATAGAGTCAGGTGTCACGTGGAATCACATATCTCATGGAGTCAGATGTGATATGGAGTCAGGTGTCACGTGGAATCACATATCTCATGGAGTCAGGTGTGATATGAAGTCAGGTGTCACGTGGAATCACATATCTCATGAAGTCAGATGTGATATGGAGTCAGGTGTCACGTGGAATCACATATCTCATGGAGTCAGGTGTCACGTGGAATCACATATCTCATGGAGTCAGATGTGATATGGAGTCAGGTGTCACGTGGAATCACATATCTCATGGAGTCAGGTGTCAACGTGAAGGCAGTCATGGGGAGTTAATGTTAATGATTATTGTATCCATATTTTTTTACACAAAACGTAAATAATGTCATACTGTTTGTTATTTTCGACGTTATGTAAAGGAGAAACTACGGCCACTCGGTATATTCCCAAATGTCAGGGCTTTCAATCTAAAGTAATCCCTAGGAGAAGTGGTTTGTCCAAGTTGTAAAGAGACGCATCACATAGACAATAAGAAAACATCAAGATACCTTATAGTGAAACAATACAGTATCTGGTATAAAAGGAATTCGATCAAAGCGTGCAAGAGAAAACCCACAAGCAGAATGGACTAACTGGACTCATGGGAAAAGAGTGAGTTAAAAATCTAAACATGATATGTGGCATTGTGTATTCATAGCTTTCGGCCACGGGAGCCGTGCCAATTTACACTTGTCAGAGGGGTACTCAAAGTACGTGATCTAGACTACCAGTTGTCGGACTTTCATTTTTTGTGGAAGCCTCGGTGGCTGAGGGGGTTAGATCGCCGACTTTGTGTGCTGGCGATTAGGTGCCTCACTCTGGCAAGTGCGGGCTCGAATCCCGGAAGGGACTCAACCCCAAAAAAGTACGAGAATCTGTACTTTACTGAGAAAGTGTTATCCCAAATATAACATTTGTTACATTTGATCACTTTCTAAATGGCATTGTGTATTCATAGCTTTCGGCCATGGGAGCCGTGCCAATTTACACTTGTCAGAGGGGTACTCAAAGTACGTGATCTAGACTACCAGTTGTCGGACTTTCATTTTTTGTGGAAGCCTCGGTGGCTGAGGGGGTTAGATCGCTGACTTTGTGTGCTGGCGATTAGGTGCCTCACTCTGGCAAGTGCGGGTTCGAATCCCGGAAGGGACTCAACCTAAAAAAAGTACGAGAATCTGTACTTTACTGAGAGAGTGTTATCCCAAATATAACATTTGTTACATGATATGTGAGGTTGCAGGTTCGATTCCCGTCATCCCTAAGACAATCCTTGTCTTCGATTTTAGAACATTGGACGTTTGAAACACAAAGTTCAAATTTATAAGTATAGAAGTATTAGAAGGAGGGTTTACAAACAAACAATGTAAGCCCCCACAGAAGGTTTTACAATCATTATAAACCAGACTACATTTAAACTTTTGCGCTCTATAGGGAAATTCAACCATTTGAAAAAAAACCTCACGGGGCAACACACACACATAGTGTGTTGTATCTCTATACTTACCCGAGTGACCACCAGGACTGAAATGTGACTGTTTACCTTTAATGAGCCAGATATTCCTGACAGATCGGTACAGGGGATGATAGTATAGTGTCATCTTCTCTGCCATGTTGAAGTGTGTCCAGAGGAATGTGTTTTCGCGCTGGAGGAAGACTAAATTTTCGGAGCTGATCTCGACCCACTTGTTGCCTGGAAGCTTGTGACCTTTCGGTTGTAGTGATGGCCGCACATTTGCATAGCGAGGCTTGTTACAACGGCTGTAGCTTCCTCCAAGGCTGTACTGAAAGATAAGTCGTGGAAGTGTAGAAATTCTATCTTCCTAATAGCAAAGTCTGGAAAAGTGGACATTACTCCAGTCTCTTTGGGGACAATTTGTTTAAATCACAATTATTGCCTTGTAGACTCTTGCAAGTCTACAAAGGCTGCGATGAATCAATACACGGAGGGTAACGCGACCTACATTGCGACACCAGTGTATTAAAGAGACCGGGTTTGCGCTCAACGTTCAGTTCATGCGTCAGGTACGGTAGCCCATAAGGGACATATGGAGTCTGTTTTTCAATATTTTGATATTTCACTTACTGTTATCGTAACCTTTTGCAAATTGACACAATTTGTGATACAAATATGTGATAAATCATGTATAAAGAAGATATTGAATCGCTGAAAAGTGAGGCGAAACTTTCAAAAACTAAAATGAAAATGTCTAAAACAAAAACGAAACTTTCAAAAACTAAAATGAAAATGTCAAAAACAAAAACGAAAATGTCAAAAACAAAAGCGAAAATGTCAAAAACTAAAATGAAAATAAAGAAAACTATTTCCACCGCGCTGATAATATTCCCACCGCGGTGAAAACTGTGTTAATTTGCAAAAGGTTACGATAAAAGTAAGTGAAATATCAAATTATTATGGGCCACCGTAGTCAGGTAAGTTTCTGCGGCCATCAGCTGTTAGGCGTTGACATAATGGGCTTCTAAACCATTACTTGTGAATTTGGATTCTAATCAACATGTAGACATCGATCGGTTCCTGACAACTCAGATGCACCCCGAATTGACATTTTGTTTTTGGAATACGCGTACTAAGATAATCCCCGTGGCGATTTCAGGTCGGAATAGGTCCCCATTACCCCATGCTTGTCGTACGAGACTATTTTAAAATGTAGTCCCATAAATATAGTCAAAATATGTAAAATATGTATCTACAAAATATAAAGTAAAAACAAGGGCTTCGGTCCTGCCCAACACGAAAACTCGGGTTACATGGGGTGTCTCCTTAGGTTAGACTTAACTTTGTTTAAAACATGCCTCTGTTCACACAGCAAGAATGGGTACCCGGTAGGGTGAGATGGTAATATTAACCTACTTAGCCTCATACGACAGCTTGATTTGTATACTCGCCAGGGAGTTCACATTGATCAAAACCCTGGGGCAATGATTACGTGGCGCCATATTGGTCATCGGACGCATTTTAAACAGACTTCGTATTCGCATACCATTCTGTCAGTTTGATACCAGTATTCGGATCTGGTACAGGCGAACCAATGTTAGACAGTGCAAGCATCAACTCATGTCGCCAGGCTTGTTATAACGGGGTTAATAATCAGGCACTACGGACCGGCTACAACTGTTGACGCTTCTTGAGAACCAGGCCGTTAGCTCTGGGAATACCGACGTTTTAAGGGAAGAACTATCAGTGTTCAATAAAAAAATGCATTGAATAATTAGATCTGCCTTCATAATTGTCAGAAGAGTGCATGCATTAACCATGGCGATCTGTAAAAACGTGCGGCGTGTTATGTGCATGCATACCAAGAACCATAATAGTTGTTCGAACCCAGGATCGGATGCTGGACGTTAAGGGACGCAACTCTGCAAAGCAAGTTCAGGCGCCTGAATCTAATGGGTCATCCGTGAAAATATTCTGAGAAAATAATTAGTATATCCCCTATTAACACGCCCTACATTTCTATTTTTTTAATATTTTAAGTTTCAATTCAGTAGACATAAATGTAACATTGGTACATGAGGTATATAAGTGTAGCAATTCATAGAATCTTAAAACATGATTAGATATGGGTATGTACATATATTGCTTGACTGAGAAATAATAATAAGTAGGCTGGTAGTTCCTTCCATTTTCTGTCGAATCTATCAATACTACTATTTTTCATTGCGATATTTTTTCCTATTTTACATACATCTTTCAATATTTTTATGTAAAAAGGAAAGCATAATTGAGTTTTTCTTAATGCTTGACTGGTGAATGAATTTTTTTGCAAAAAGAATTATAAGGTTGAAAAGATAGTTGTTTTTGTTGTAGCAAAAAAATTATTCCAAATGGTAATATGAATATCATGTGTAAGTTTCGAGTTTAGGTACATTTCAATTTCTAACCAAACTTCCTTTACAAAAACGCATTCAACATACACATGGTATAAGATTCAGAGACATAAAATGAGCATATATCATCATCCATTAACTTCAATTTCAACAATTCCTTTTTGGTATATAGAGATCTATTTATGAATCTATTCTGGAAATCTATGAGTTTAACATCATTGGTACATAATTAACAATTAGAGAAAACGTTATTCCCTAAAATGCCTTGACTAAGTTCATTTTCCCATTTATCACACATCAGAGGAAAGTTAATTTTAGCTATAAGTTTATCATTAAATATTCCTATATAGCCCTATTGTTCTCATCAACAGGTCTCTCAAAATGTTATTTATGTATAAAATTAGCTGTGATACAAAATCTGCCATTTATTGCTTTTTTCCACGATTCAGGGATATTTAGCATTACTCTGTTGTAGTCAAGTAAAGTACCTTTAATTTGAAACTTGTTTTGTAATTCTTCAAATGTTAAAAATCTTTTGTTGCTCCATAAATCTTTTAAACTATGAATACCCTTATTAAACCAATGTTTTAGAATAAAAATGTTTTTAAATTGGTTATTGAACCATATTTAATCTGATAGAATATCTTAAATACTTTCTCAACTTTATGTTTTCTGTAGTACATTTCTATTTACATGTGCCTTTTTCACACACGCACGCACGCACGCATACATAAGTAAATAATAAGAACAAGATTACCCGATAAGAGACTGGAGTCCTCATGTACTGTCCACATAGCTATGGAATTATCTTTCAGTTCAGCCGTGGAGCAAGGCTAACGAAATGCCCTGTTTTCTATTTCTAAATCACTGTTACCTCGGTCAGCAGCACAAGTGATTCAACACTATGTGATCAGCTGATCTAGGCCCACTCAACCCTTATTAAGCCAGATATTTGGAACGGAACGATACCGTGGATACCACGGAATATTGATCTCTACCACCACGAAGCAAGACCTTGTTGAGCTGACCCGACAGTTCACTCATTTATCTTGTGCACAAGGAGTGTGTTATTCGAGGGGTCAATGTACCGACAGCCTTGGCCTGCTTCTGTTCAGTGGTCGTATCAGGTGACACGTTTACCAAAACAAAGATATAGTCTATGAAATCTCTCCTCCAAACTTGTTTTCCTGGTGATTTCGAATGTGGAATTGGATAGATTTGCTTTCATATAATCTAGATCGGTTTTGTTTTAATAAAATACACATATTCCACAGTCATAGTGCTGGATTAACGTTGACCGTTTTGTTAGACTTATATATAGTCTATAAAGTTATGTATAAGGTTAATAAACATAACTCTTTAAAGGGACCTTTATCCTCATGTCTCTGATTTCATGGCATACTGCATTGGTTTGGTGTGTTGTTTTACGCCGCACTCAGCAATATTCCAGCTATATGACGGCGGTCTGTAAATAATCCAGTCTGGACCAGACAATCAAGTGATTAATATCATGAGCATCGATCCAAGCAATTGGGATCGATGACATGCATCAACCAAGTCAGCGAGCCTGACCACCCGATCCCGTTAGTCGCCTTTTACGACAAGCATAGTCACCTTTTACGGCAAGCATGGGTTGCTGAAGACATACTGCATTGATTTAGATGACAACATTTGTGGGAGCAGTTACTTATTACTGTTTAAAGGCCACTATGACTTGGTGAGGGGGGTGAGTGTCGGGCTCCTGAAACTGTTGAGGTCTCCCCGCTAGCTCCTGAGGCTCCTGAGGTCTCCGGAGTAACATTTCAATCGCTTTGTAACAGGGGGCCCTGGTAGTTAGGGGTAACGATGGAGAGAACTGGTGTGAGCACTTTAAAACTTCAAATACACAATAAAAACAGTTGTGCAAAACAACAATAGAGTAATTTTGTAAGCTCACCAATATTTAATTAAAATAGGAAAATCTCCTAAATGGTGATTTTTGTTTGTTTGTTGTTTAACGCCGCACTAAGCAATATTCCAGCTATATGACGGCGGTCTGTAAGTAATCGAGTCTGGACCAGACAATCCAGTGATTAATTGACATCATGATGTCATGACATCAGTGAGGGCCGTCTCCGCTCGTCCTGTAGAGCCTGATTCAGCTGCTGGACGTTGGCTGGCTGTTGTGGTCGACGTCGGAGTTGTCTCCCCAGATGCTTCCAAAGATGAACATTCTTTTGTACTTCAGTGTATCAGGTTGTTTTATATCTAAATACAGTTGTCTAGTTTTTCGGGTTACAATACATCTCCCATTACAGTAAAGCTATTATTGACCTGGTGTTACACCACCGCAACGGAGGAGGTTGATAAAATAACTAATGATGATCAGATCCGTGTCATTGATTTATTCGATTTGCCCAAATGGCGTCTACAGGAACGAATCATCGTGACGACATACGCTAAACATTGCGCCACAACTTGATACTGACTCTTACCAACCGTCTTTTGTCATCATTACACGTGGACAATATTTGATAAAAATAAGGGGACCTATATTCTTATTAAACTTTAGCATAAAAAAACAGACAAAATACAACCAGTCTCTGAAGGGCTAACACTGATTCTAAAGCTTATCTTTACATCAGTCTAAAGTTTCCAAGTTTCATTGTTAAGAGCATGGACCTACACTTTTATTAAAGGTAACAGCCACACGTGTGATCTGCACCTGAGTGTATATAATAGACATTAATAGACATAGACTATTTTGTGGTCTCTGTCTGCACAAGGTCTCTTGAGAGAGGGGAGCATTGAGATTCCGGCTGTGTGTGTGTGTGTGTGTGTGTGTGTGTGTGTGTGTGTGTGTGTGTTACTTTGGGGGTTGCGTTAGTTCTAATGGGTACATTATACTGGACAGGAACGTTTTACATCGCAATTGACAATATTCCAACATTATACGGCCTCCTGTATATATGTCTGGGCTAGACAAACCAGTGGTTGGCATTTTGAAAAACGTTCCTAACGTCGGGGTACAATGAAACGCAATCAACCAAGTATGGCTACCCGACCCATAAGCCACCTCTTGCGACAAGCATAGTTTGCTGGGGACCAATTCCAACCAGGAATGTCCTCATGTCACAAATTAACAACGTAGTGACCCGTTACAGCATCAGACGATTGCAACACACTGTTGTCTTCTTCGAGTTAAAGGAAGTTCGGTACATCCTGCTGTTTTTCAACAGATGACATACAACGCTCTGTCCTTTTCGCACTAACGAGTTCAGTACATATTACATGATAAGTAAGAATAATCAAACAGTTTTAAGAGAAACCTTAAAGAATGCTTCGTCCAATTTTTTTCAAGGAAACGTCATACACAACACGTAATAACTCTTGGTCCTTCATAACTACCTGGATCTAACAAAGCGAGCGTTTAAGCCATGGTGATTGCTGCTTGAAAGGCCGGTCTTTTCTCAAGTCGAGCGTAATATCCCTCTCTGATCTTGGGGTGGTTCTTGAGAAGTTCGCCATCATTGAACAGCCTGAAGAGGAACAGGTCATAGCCCAGCACTGTGTCAGCCGCAGTAAACCTGGAGGACGATGGAGAAAGGGTTGAGTTTAACGCTGCATTGAGCATATTATTACATTATGGCGTGATAGGTCAGTATAGGAGGATTTTGTAATTGTTTGATAGTTACTACATTTGAGGTACACATCTCTTCATAATACAACTCTTCAGTAAATCTGTATTGAAACGACAAACATATACTTAATCAGAATCACTTGATCACCATGTAAGGGATTTATTCTCCCACTGAGACAAATTTATTTCCCTCGAAAACGGGATACATCGTATCTAAAAAGATCACGCATGAAGCAATCAGATCTCATCATTCTGATATGGAGGTTTGATCATGCAAATGATAATAAATGTGATGTTATTTAAGTGGTGTTTCATGAGGTAATGTTGGCCGTACTTGTCCCCGCAGAGAAATGCCCTGTTCTCCAGCCTCTTGGCCAGGTAGTCCATACACGCGTCAAACTTGTCTCTCATCTTCTTCCCCTTCTCTTCACTGAAGGGCGCCTTCTTGTACCACAGCTCGTAGAAGAAGTCTATGAGCCCATCCAGAGTGGCATTGCCGTACATGATGAAACTGTAGACCACAAGTCGACATAGTGCAATAAGTCCTTCTGAGCAATAAACCATGATCGACCAATAAGCCTTGATTGTGCAATACGCTATATAGTGCCATTAACCATGGTAATACAAAAGCCAGTGATCGTGTATTACGTGGGAACAATAAGCTGTAAACGTGCAATAAGCCACGCTCGTGTAATAAGCCAAGATAAAGTAATATGCCGTAATCGTGCAATAAGCCGTGATAGTGCAATAAGCCACGCTCGTGCAATAAGTCTTGATAGTCAAATAAGCCATGATACTGCAATAAACATGGTAATACAATAGTCAGAGATCGTCCAATACGATGTGGGGTATTATATGCTATATTCGTGCAAGAAGCCATGATAACATAATAAGTCGTATAGTCGTAGTGTAATAGGCCACACGCGTGCAAAAAGCCTTCATAGTCCAATAAGCCATGATAGTCAAATACGCTATGATAGTCCAATAAACTGTCATCGTGCAAAAGCTCCGATAATTAAATAAGTTCTGATAGTGAATTGTATTAAATCCTGATTGTGCAATAAGCTGTTATCACGCAACAGACTGTTCTGGACGGTTCTACGTTGTGAGAGTGTATTAGTCCTGATAGTGAAATACGTGCTGACAGTACAATATCCCGCTGGGTAAATAAGTCCTGATAGTGCAATACGTTCTGACAGTACAATATCCCGCTGGGTAAATAAGTTCTGATAGTGAAATACGTTCTGACAGTACAATATCCCGCTAGGTAAATAAGTCCTGATAGTGGAATACGTTCTGACAGTACAATATCCCGCTAGGTAAATAAGTCCTGATAGTGAAATACGTTCTGACAGTACAATATCCCGCTAGGTAAATAAGTCCTGATAGTGAAATACGTTCTGACAGTACAATATCCCGCTAGGTAAATAAGTCCTGATAGTGAAATACGTTCTGACAGTACAATATCCCGATTGGTAAATAAGTCCTGATAGTGCAATAAGTCCGCATAGGGCATCTTCCCGAGGCAAGGGAGTTAACTGACTGTAGAAGTCCAGTTTCCACCCTGAAATCCGCTGGAATTTCTGTACACGATCGTAGCGCCACCAGTGGCTATTACGAGTTATGTGTCCCTCCTATTGACCAATCATATTCCATCTCTCATATCACTTTCTTTGCTTCAAAAAAAACAGCGGCGTCCAGTCAAGACGATCTGATCGATAAGCAAAATCTATATTGTGATAAAACGGGTCTTACTTCGCGAAGTAAATGACGTGATGAAATCACGTGAGCACCTCGATTAAAAACATGAACAGATTTGGAAAGTATCTGTTGACGCCGAGATGGCAGTACACATGCTTTGCAAATCCTGCAATCGATCGAAATCTGCACGGCAGTTTACGAACCGAATGTCGATTTCGTAACGCGATTTTGATTGGACTATGCATAGACTCGTTAGTCCATCCAAAATATAACTCCATAATTCCAGCCCAGTTCGGCAAGTGTGGAAACTGGCATTTTATAGTCAGTTAACTCCTGTGCCTCGGAAAGATGTCACAGGGCAACAACTCCTAATAGTGAAACAAGTTCTGGAGGTGAAAAGAGTCGTAGGAATGCAAAACGTCCCCACAGAAAGGGGATAAGAAAAAAAGAGGAAATGCGAATCTCAAGATGACAGAAAAGAATTTAAATAATGGTGATATGACAAACACAAATAACTGGTAAGTTCTCGATTTCCTCCTGAGACTTTCGAAAGTGGTTTTGTAGGGACAGACACCATTGCATGGCCACATCTATAACTAGCCAACGGTCAGTGTTCCAAATAGACATCGGCCAGTAGGGCCGAAGCCGACAGATTTGTTCTCGGTCTGATAGTTTTAAATTTGAGCAGGCCCTTACGACCCGTAGTTTATTTTAAGCTGAAACATGGTAAATGAAACATAACACTGAGATTGTTTTTTTTGTAAACAGCGCCCAGCTTCAGGGTACTCCACTAGTTCACTCTTTCAACACCGCTGGCCGGTTTACCGGCCACATCCTAGCCACGTCAAAATAATATATGGTTTCGTGAACCTACCTGTCATATTGTAATTCATTAAATCTATTTCTTTTCACAATGCATGAAAATGCGTATTTAATTTCAATTTATGACATTTTTTTAATAGATTTAAAATTATTAACTTTTTCCCGCAATGTTATTGACAAAAGAATCTTGGACACTTGCTTGGGCAACGGGTCCATATCGAACATGTCAAAGAGCAATATAAAGACATTTCAAGCAAAATAATTTAAATAAAGTAATAAAGAAAATCAACAAACATATTTCTAAAAAATGGCAAACTTACATCTAAGTTACTATAACTATCTTTTCTTGCGATCGTGTAATGTAAGTCAAATGACATCTCGGCAATTGTCGAATCATTTTTAGGCTCGGACACGATGTTTAATGCCAAAACTTATGCATGATCTTTGTCGGTCAAAATAACACGATTTAACGAAGGATTTTAGTATAAATCTGAAATATATCATACAGGAGGATGGTATCCATTGCTATTATTTGATTGGCTGCCTGAGGTCATATTCTTGAATTTGACCAATCACGACCTTCATATTAGATTACGGTAAATTGGCATTAGAAACCAATTTCTCCCCCCCCCCCCCCCCAAATCGTATGTTACAACATAATAACATTTTTTGATAAACTTCATACCGATTTATAAAAAAATATCCGTAATCTGGAAATTTGACATTTCTAGTGGGCCAAAAGGGCTTTTGTCCTACCTCGTAGTTTGGAACAAGCTATTCCCACAGAGGTTTGTCTACTCAAATCTAAATCGTGCGAAAAAACAACAACATATTGATGGCAAATTAACGCCGTGTATGACGTTACCCGTGAAGATCCGGGGTAGAATAGATCTTCAGCAACCCATGCTTGCCGTAACAGGCGACTATGCCTTTCGTAGGAGGCGACTAACGGGATCGGGTGGTCAGGCTCGCTGACTTGGTTGATGCATATCATCTATCCTAATTGCGTGGATCGATGCTCACGATATTAATCAAGGGGTTGTTTGGTCAAGACTCGATTATTTACAGACCGCCATCATATAGCTGGAATATTGCTGAGTTCGGCGTAAACAACAAATCAACCAACCAACCAACCCGCTACACATTACTGATGTTACGTAACCTGACACATGTCACGTACCCGCTACACATTACTGATGTAAAGTAACCTGACACATGTCACCTACTCCTACATATAACTGTGACGTTGCGTTCCCAGACGCACGTCACGTACCCGCTACACATAACTGACGTTACATAGATCGTCGCACGCACGTCACGTACCATCTACCCATCACTGTGGTGTTACGTAGCCAGACGCATGTAACGTACCCGTTACACATAACTGTGACGTTATGTGACTAGACGCATGTCACGTACCCGCTACACATAACCGACGGTACATAACTTGACGCCTGTCACATACCCTCTACACATAACTGACGGTACATAACTTGACGCCTGTCATATACCCGCTACACATAACTGACGGTACATAACTTGACATGTCACGTACCCTCTACACATAACTGACGGTACATAACTTGACATGTCACGTACCCGCTACACATAACTGAGGTACATAACTTGACATGTCACATACCCTCTACACATAACTGACGGTACATAACTTGACATGTCACATACCCTCTACACATAACTGACGGTACATAACTTGACATGTCACGTACCCTCTACACATCACTGTGGTGTTACGTAGCCAGACGCATGTAACGTACCCGTTACACATAACTGTGACGTTATGTGACTAGACGCATGTCACGTACCCGTTACACATAACTGACGGTTCATTATTTGACATGTCACGTACCCTCTACACATAACTGACGGTACATAATTTGACATGTCACGTACTCGCTTCACATAACAGTGACCTACTCGTAATAGTCCTTCCTGTCCTTGGGGTCCGGCACGAGTTTCCCGTATCTGTCTGCCAGGTACATGTTGATGGCCCCTGACTCTAATATGGTCCCCTCCCCGGGGATGACCAGGGCGGGGATAGTTCCGTGGGGGTGGACGTCCCTGAGGTAGGCGGCGACGACGTCGGGTTCGTTTTCGTCATTAGGCTCGTAGCGGATAAACTCAAAGTTTTGCTCAACATCCATTTCTGGTCAAAGAAAGAGAATATTCAACTTATAGAAAAGTTTCGATACTTTCTTTTGAAAAAAGGTCGGACAGACGCTCCATCATTGATCTGTGTCCTGTAACGACAAAACCTAACGTCTCGTCATTCAGTAATAAACATACCACAAACTGTACAGTTTGTGTTTAACGCTGCACTCACAAATATTTTAGCGATATGACAGCGACCTTTACAAACAAAAAGAATGTATGAGACAAACTAGAGATTTATACGTATAATGAGCATCACCCACCGCTCTTGGGATACGATGACATGCCATCAACCAAGACCCCGAACCTGACCACCCGATCCATTAGGTCGCCTCGTACAACAAGCATAGACTACAGGGAACCTATTTTAACTCTGAGTTGGACTCCCGGGATTCTACTGAAATAAACTCTACCAACCTAGTCCTGTTAGGGTCCAAACGCTTTATATTCTTTGGTGTTGAGGTGAGGTGAGGTGAGGTGAGGTGAGGTGAGGTGAGGTGAGGTGAGGTGAGGTGAGGTGAGGTGAGGTGAGGTGAGGTGAGGTGAGGTGAGGTGAGGTGAGGTGAGGTGAGGTGAGGTGAGGTGAGGTGAGTGAGTGAGTGAGTGAGTGAGTGAGTTGTGTTTAACGCCGCTTTTAACAGTATTCCACTTATATCGCGGCGTGTCAGCTAAATGTGGGAGGAAAGCCCGAAGTGATGCAGGTCTCAGACGTTTACCACTTCGGTGATACCCACAAGCACGGGTATGGTGCTGACAAACCTAGAAACATAATCGGGGCGAACCGTGATTTGAACCCACAATCATAGGTTTCTGGCGTGACCAAGGGACGCAACACTGCACAGCGAATTGCGGCGCGTTAGACGACTGGGCCACCCGTGCCCCCTGGTGTTGAGGTGTGTGTGTGATTCCAACCCACCAACACAAGAGTGAGTATGGTTTTACGCCGCTTTTAGCGCTATTCCAGCAATATCACGGGGGCAGACACCAGAAATGGGCTTCATCACCCGTCAACTTCTTAGTAATGCCTGTCAAACAATTTAGCCAGCAATATATCGGTTCTAATTTGGCGACGGGGTAGCCTAGTGGTTAAAGCGTTCTCTTGTCACGTCGAAGGCCCGGGTTCGATTCCCCACGTGGGTACAACGTGTGAAGCTCATGTCTGGTGTTCTCCGCCGTGATATTGCCGGAATATTGTTAAAAGCGGCGTAAAACCACATGCAGTCACTCTATTCTAATCGTGTCCACAAGGTGTAGGTCCACCAACAGTAGTCAACTCAACAACGTGTTAACCCTCATAACTGTAATGAGTTTACTATATTATTATGCCCCTTTGTAAACAGAGAGTTTTTCCAATCTCCATTTGTTATGCCCCTTTGTAAACAGAGAGTTTTTCCAATCTCACACAGTGTAGTATGTATTATCACGTATCCTTAATTACGGTATGTATATATGGTCTTCTTGATTGGGATGTCATGTGTTTAATGTTGTCATGGTGATGCTAGTTAGGCTTAGGATTTAGTAAAGATACCAAGTTTTGGAACAACAGTCAACCTTGTTGTCATTATTGACTGATGATATCAGACGAGGTGTAACAGAACGAACGCAAGATCTCCGATGCATGACAACCTCGCAGACATTTCTGACGGAGTGATAAACGCCTCACGTTTCTGCTTTCAAGGACAACGCCAGCCAATTCTCCATTGCTTGCTATTTTAAATCAGCGCAGCAAATATACATGTAATGGATGTTGTTCTCGCTGTTTGATGTTATATTAAGCATCATCGACAGATCAATATTATGATAATCAACTGTTGCCATGAACGCTACAAGCAGATCTGCATTATACAAATAATTACTCTTCGCATATTGACCTCTCCAACAGTAATCATTCGTTTTGGTATACCGAAATTTAATTTAAAGTTTATGCAGTCTCCTCTGTTTGATTACAGCAATACACTGCTGGTCAGCCAACGTGAGTAATACACTAACTATGCAGGGTTGTGTTTGTTAAGTTATGGTGAAAGTGAACTGTAGAACGAACTATTTGTGGAGCCAGATGTTGCATGGTGGCCCGCATTGACAGGCTGTACACACCAGCTGACATGGAATCCTCACTAGAACAAATCAGAGAGAGGAGACACGTCTACACCTGAACCGTGAAATGTAACCGGACGCCATTTCGTTTTCTAGCAGACGAGTCAACATATCACGTGACAGATAAAAACTGATCACGTGACGAGCAAATATTTGAGGTCAGTGTCAGTCACTTGAATTGTATTGCTTCGTCACGCTGTATGAATTAACAAAAGGATTTGCAAGGTTCTTGATAGAGGTATAAAAGTTTAAAATATTCTACTCACCTTTGATAAGCCAGATATTTCGGACGGAACGGTATTGAGGAAACCAGTACAGCTTCATTTTCGGGGCCCCTGTATCTGCCATTGTTAGCTGAAGCTGGGTTGTAGGACTGGGTTCTGAGAGAGGGATAATGCCCTAGACTCGACGGGTGTGGGATGTGGGTCAATATACAGCAAATGACGCACCTGCTCTATTTTTTAGCAGCACGGGATTATCCTTTTTCTCCGTATTAGGGGTGTCAGGTGAGTTTGGGGAATATTGGCCAGTGAAGACGTACCCTCAAGTAGTGACTCGACTGTGCAATATCTTTCCGCAGTTGCGTGTACACAGAGTATACTTAATACTATTTTAATTGTTAAATCTAGCGCGGTTGAATCTACGAACAGGTAACATATACCTCTACATTGAAAACAGAGTGAAATATCTTTCCGCAGTTGCGTGTACACAGATTATACTAAATACTATTTTAATTGTTAAATCGGTTAAATCTACGTAAGGTAACATAATTCTCTAGTAACCTTAAACTTTATATACAGTTGATCGGAGGTTAATAACGATGGCAATAATCCCAGGCACTGTAGACGTCATCTTCACGACAAAGAGTGAGTGAGTTGGGTTTAACGCCGCTTTTAACACTATTCCAGTTATATCGCGGTGTGTCAGCTTAATGTGGGAGGAAAGCCCGAAGTAATGCAGGTCTCTGACGTTTACCATTTCGGTGAAACCCACGAGCACGGGTATGGTGCTGACAAACCTAGAAACATAATTTGGGAGTACCGGGGTTCAAACCTACAATCATAGGTTTCTGGCGTGCCCAAGGGACGCAACTCTGCACAGCGAATCGCGGCGCCTTAGACGACTGGGCCACCCGTGCCCCCTCACGACAAAGATATGAAGGGGTAGCCCCGGTCATACAGGCATTTTTAGTAAGTTTATTTATCAGGGTCACGTGTTGTAGGTATAATACATCCTCTGCACGCCCAAACCGGGTTCAAACGTAATGTCGGACCGTAAAACATTGGGTCTGGTCACGTGACATATTTTGGAAACCATACCAGATATATGGGAAGCCCTTGGAAATGTGCATTCGACAGTATCACTGAACTATTTCAAAACCACAAAGTAATGAATCGGTGATTTTAACTATCAGCGACCCCTTATACTTCGAAACCAATGGCGAAAGCCCCTAAGTAATCGACCATTTGATTTTATCGAAAAAAAAATTGTTCCCGAAAATTCGTGAAAAAACATGATAATGCTTCAGACTGTTGAATGCAGGCACCTGCCACGAAAATTTCATTGTTGCACGGTATCTTTCTTTTAAATACAATCAGGGTCATATTTTTAAATAATAATTATATCTGGTTATGAAGCTGTAGGTGAAAAATATCTAATCCCAAAAGATATTTGTTGTAATCCCCGGCCGTCCTAGGGATATACATATATTTTTCCCCACCAGTTACCTATACCTTCCGAATATATCTATCTAAAGAATCGATGAAAAAGGATGCGCAGGGAACAAAGGGAGATCACTCTCGATCCTTCTACCACAAGCATGCAGCCGAGAGTGAGTGATCAGAACGGAAAACATCAAACATGGAGTCACACTGAGTTACCCCAAGTAACACTCAGTCACACCGAGAAACATGGAGTCACACCAAGTAACATCGAGTAACATATGGATTCACACCAAGTAACATAGTGACACCGAGTTACACCGAGGTACACGGAGTGACACCGAGTAACACCGAGGTACACGGAGTGACACCGAGTAACACCGAGTTACACCTAGGGACACAGAGTGACACCGAGTAAAAACGAATTATACAGAATGATACAAAGTAATGTACCTAGTTACATCGAGTCACACTGAGGTGCGCTGAAAAACACCAAGTCATACCGAGTAATACCGAGTTACAGAGTGAAAAATATTAGCACTATGTATAACCGAATTACACCGAGTGACACAGAATAAAACCGAGTAAGATCGAGAAACACCAGTAGAACATGCACTATGCCCCCTAGAAAATAACCATTGTTTTTTACAAGGAGAAATAACGTCAGTACACACAACACACTATATCCCCCGTTTCCATCTCCTTTGCTCCCCTGTGGATAAAATAGAACTTTGCATTGATAAAAACACTATGTCGGATATGCAGGGTCAACCTACTCGTAATAGTCCTTAATTGATTAATTCTTAATTGTACTTTTACTTATTTCTTTTAAATCTTAACATTAAACACCAGACAAAATACAACAGGTTCTGAAGGGCTAACAATGATTCGAAACATTTCTTTACATCAGTCTAAAGTTTCCAAGTTTATTTGTTAATCAACCAAGTCCCCCAACGCATGAGCCACCCTCTTGCGTAGAGCGGAGGGACCAAGTCCAACCAGGACCACATGTCAATTAGCAACACAGTGACCTGTTACAGCATCGGACGATTGCAACACACTGTTGTCTTCTTCGAGTTAAAGGAAGTTCGGTACATCCTGATGTTTTCAACAGATGACTGTTAACTAACAACGCTCTGTCTTTTTCGCACTAACGTGTTCAGTACAAACTACATGATCAGTAAGAAAAAACAAACAGTCTTGAGAGAAAACTAAAGTAATGATTCGTCCAATTTTATTCAAGGACACGTCATACACAACACGTAATTACTCTTGGTCCTTCATAGCTACCTGGATCTGACAAAGCGAACGTTTAAGCCATGGTGATTGCTGCTTGAAAGGCCGGTCTTTTCTCAAGTCGAGCGTAATATCCCTCTCTGATCTTGGGGTGGTTCTTGAGTAGTTCGCCATCATTGAACAGCATTGCGGAGAATAGGTCATAGCCCAGCACTGTGTCAGCCGCAGTAAACCTGGAGGAGGATTGAGAGTGAGTTGAATTTAACGCTGCATTGGGTAGTAATTCAGATATAAAATGTCGTGATAGGTCAGTATTGGAGGATTTTTAATAGTTTAATTGTAACTCCAGTTGGGGTACACATCTCTTCGTCATACAACTCTTTAGCCCCGCGTGTTTACCGCGTGAATATTATTGGTTAGAATAGGTTCTCAGCATCCTTTGCTGGTCATAAGACGGGACTAAATGGATCGGGTGTGACTTGATAGTCTGTCATACAGACCCTGAGAGAAATATATCCAGTACAGCTCACGCATGTATATTATACTGAGCAAGTCTAGATTACTGCAGTTTTAACAATTCTCTAGTCTCCTTTATATTATATTTTAGATAATTCGATAATTTAACAACTGTCGAAATGTTCATTTCAGAAACTAGACGTTTGTGTAGTGACTTGGTTGATTGTGTGCCATCGTACCGCGACATTGTGGCCACGCAATCAACCAAGTCACTGAGTGTGACCACTGGACCTCCTGTGACCAGCATAGGGTGTTGGGGACCAATTCCAACTCGGAATCCCCATGGTGTGTCAAGTATTCAGTACACAATTGTCTCATCATCCCTCGTCGAGACTGAAACCAGTCTGCACTGAGTAGTTGACAGTTAACGTGGGGAGATTGTCCGACCTTATAATCATTACACATTGTAATGTAATTTTCAAACAATTTTAGTGTATTTATGCCGATATTTTAACCTTCAGCCGAGAGACACTGCCCACTTATGTAAGCATTGTGTGTGAGTCTGGCTCATGCGGATGTCGGAGACGAATAGGTCCCCAGCATCCCATGCTTGTCCTGACAGGCGTCTGAGGGGTTCAGCCCTGGTGGCCGAATTGTTTGTTTGTCATCGAACCTCCATGTCTCTCCTCACTGCTTTGCCTGTTCCAGACTCGACTATTTATAGTCGGCCGTTATATGGATTGAATAATAACATTACTCAATCCATGCAAACAGCCAGGCGTGAACCACCCCATAAAACTGCACAATTGTCTGTATCGCAGCGTGTCAGCTTGTTGCGGGATGGCAGCCCGATGTGATACTGGTCTCAGATGTGTATCACTTCGGTGAAACCCACGAGCACGGGTATGGTGCTGACGAACCTCTAAACATAACCAGAGCGAATCTGGTATTCAAACCCACTGTCATAGCTTTTTCTCATGTCTTACAGCTTGTCTACCAGTCCTGTAATATCGCACTGAATGTGAGAGGAGAATACATCATGGGTAGCAGGCAATTGGTAATGCATGCATATGCATAATGGAATCACTATTCAGCAATAAAAGTGGTAATGATAAATGCAAATGATAATAAATGTGATGTTATTTAAGCGGTATTTCATGAGGTAATGTTTGACGTACTTGTCCCCGCAGAGAAATGCCCTGTTCTCCAGCCTCTTGGCTAGGTAGTCCATACACGCGTCAAACTTGTCTCTCATCTTCTTCACCTTCTCTTCACTGAAGGGCGCCTTCGCGAACCACAGCTCGTAGAAGAACTCTATGAGCTCATCCAGAGTGGCGTTGCCATACATGATGAAGCTGAAACACACAAGTCAACATAGTGCAATAAGTCCTTGTAGTGCAATACACCATGATCGAACAATAAGCCTTGATTGTGCAATAAGCTATAGTGCCATCAACCATGGTAATACAAAAACCAGTGACCGTGCATTACTCTGAGGGGAACAATGCGCTGTAATCGTGCATTAAGCCGTGATCGTGCAATACGCCTTGATAGTCCAATAAGTAATGATAGTGCAATAAACTTATGCAATAGCAAGTGATCGTGCACTACCACGTGGGGTACTATATGCTGTAATTGTGCAATAAGCCATGATAATATAATAAGTCGTGATAGTGTAATAGTCCACGCTCGTGCAATACGTCTTGATAGTCCAATAAGCCATGACAGTGCAATAAACATGGTAATACAATAGACAGTGATCGTGCAATACAATGTGGGGTACTACATGCTGTAATCGTGCAATAAGCCATGCTTTAACAACAAGTCGTGTAGTCGTAGTGTAATGGGCCACGCTCGTGCAATACGTCTTGATAGTGCAATAAGCCATGCTTTAACCAGTCGTGTAGTCGTAGTGAATAAGCTATGCCAGTGCAATAAACTGTCATCGTGCAAAGGCTCCGACAATGAAAAAAGTTCTGATAGTGAATTGTGTTAAATCCTGATTGCGAAATAAGCTGTTATCACGCAAAGGACTGTTCTGTTGCAAGAGTGTATTAGTCCTGATAGTGAAATACGTTCTGACAGTACACTATCCCGCTAGGTAAATAAGTCCTGATAGTGAAATACGTTCTGACAGTACAATATCCCGCTAGGTAAATAAGTCCTGATAGTGAAATACGTTCTGACAGTACAATGTCCCGCTAGGTAAAGAAGTCCTGATAGTGAAATACGTTCTGACAGTACAATATCCCGCTAGGTAAATAAGTCCTGATAGTGAAATACGTTCTGACAGTACAATATCCCGACTGGTAAATAAGTCCTGATAGTGAAATACGTTCTGACAGTACAATATCCCGCTAGGTAAATAAGTCCTGATAGTGAAATACTTTCTGACAGTACAATGTCCCGCTAGGTAAAGAAGTCCTGATAGTGAAATACGTTCTGACAGTACAATATCCCGACTGGTAAATAAGTCCTGATAGTGAAATACGTTCTGACAGTACAATATCCCGCTAGGTAAATAAGTCCTGATAGTGCAATAAGTCCTCATAGGGCAACATCTCACATAGTGAAACAAGTTCTGAAGGTGAAATGAGTTCTGGGAATGCAATAAGTCCCATGGGGAGGGGATTAAAAAAAGAGGAAATGGTTATCTTAACAAGATGGCATTTGGTGAGTGAGTGAGTTGGGTTTAACGCCGCTTTTAACAGTATTCCAGCTTAATGTGGGAGGAAAGCCCGAAGTGATGCAGGTCTCAGACGTTTACCACTTCGGCGAAACCGACGAGCACAGGTATGGTGCTGACAAACTTAGAAACATAATCGGGGCGAACCGGTATTCGAACCCACAATCATAGGTTTCTGGTGTGCCCAAGGGACGCAACTCTGCACAGCGAATCGCGACGCCTTAGACGACTGGGCCACCCGTGCCCCCAGATGACAGAGACGATAATCTAAATAATGGTGATGAGACAAACAAAAATAACAGGTAAGTTCTCGATTTCCTCCTAAGACTTTCGTAAGTGGTTTTGTAGGGCCAGACACCATTGCATGGTCACATCTAACCAGCCAAAGGTTCATATGTAACGGCGATTTATGTAAATTGCCTAGATTTGGGGAGATTACAACACGTCCCTGTGGATGACGAAGTAGTGCTGTAATATGTCCCAGCGGGTGATTTAAAGGTGTTTGGTTAGCATGTCTTCAACATTTGAACATGAGCAAATCTTTGACCCAAGCTTACTAGGTCACTGGCTTGCTCAAGCTTAAACATCCCAGCCTTTTCACTTTTAGCCATACTCATACTTATTTGGAAAGTTGGCATTTCTTGTGGGTCTTAAGGGCCTTTATCCTATCTCGTCCTTGGGAACATGCTACACACAGAGAGGTTTTTCTACTCAAATCTAAATCGTGTGGGTAGAAAATCACATTGATGGCGAACAAACGCCGTGCATGACGTCACACAACCATTAACATAACTGTTACATGGCTGGACGCTTGTCACGTATCCGCTACACATTACTGTGACTTTACGTTACCAATCGCGTGTCACGTACTCCATTCATATTACAATGAAGTTATATAACCTGACGCATTTCACCTACTCGTAATAGTCCTTCCTGTCCTTGGGGTCCGGCACGAGTTTCCCGTATCTGTCTGCCAGGTACATGTTGATGGCCCCTGACTCTAATATTGACCCCTCCCCGGGGATGACCAGGGCGGGGATAGTTCCGTGGGGGTGGACGTCCCTGCTGTAGGCGGCGACGGCGTCGGGTTCGTTTTCGTCATTAGGCTTGTAGCGGATAAACTCAAAGTCTTGCTCGACACCCATTTCTGGTCAAAGAAAAAGTATATTTAACTCATAAAAAGAGTCTCAATACTTTCTTTTGGGAAAGGTTGGACAGATGCTCCATCTTGTTATCGTTGTTCTGTGTCCTGTACCAACAAAACTTAACGTCTCATCATCCAGTATTAAACACCGCAAACTGTTAGGTTGTATTTACCGCTGCACTCACAAATATCCCAGCTATATGACAGTGACCTTTTCATAATAAAGTTTGTATGAGACAAACCAGTGATTAATATAATGAGCAGCGCCAATCGCTCTAGGTGTACGATCACATGCAACCAACCATGTTCCCGAACCTGCACACCAGACCCAGTAGTTTGTGTGTTTGTTGTTTATCGCCGCACTCAGCAATATTCCATTTATATGACAGCGGTCTGTAAATCTTCGAGTATGGACCAGACAATCCGGTAGTTGACATCATGAGCATTGATCTACATAATTGGGATTCAATGACATGCATCAACCAAGTCAGCGAGCCCCGTCCTCTAAGTTTCCTCTTAAGACAAGCATAGTCGCCTTTTACAGCAAGCATAGGTTGCTGAAAGACCTATTCTAACCCGCCGATCCATTAGGTTAACTCGTACAAGAAACATAGATTACAGGGAACCTGTTTAACTCGGAGTTCAACTCCAGGGGTTCATCTAAAATATACACCCCAGATTTTTGTCAGAGGTCCCACCACCAACACATGAATACCTAATGGTGGGTCAACTTGTAGATAGCTCCAACAGGCTCCATAGAATACAGATGGTTTAAATTTGGACCACAATGCAGAGTGGTGTCCCTTGTCCATGTCAGGACCTGCTGACCGTGGATTCTAATCCCAGATTTATGTCTACGTTGACTCTTGGTCTGTACCATGTAAATGACTAAACCTGCATCACCTCGGGATTTACTTCCACATCAAACTGAAACGCCGTTGGTATAATAACTAAAATACTGTTTAGGGTGGCGTGAATGGGTGGATAATGCACCTTACATACAGCAAGAGGCTTGGGATGGAGTAGTAAATGGGTGTAAAAGATAGCTTCATAACGAGTGAGTGAGTGAGTGAGTGGGTGGAAGGGTGGGTGAGTGAGTGAGTGAGTGAGTGGTGAGTGAGTGAGTGAGTGAGTAAGTGAGTGAGTATAGCTGTACAGTCAGCATAACTCCAGTTACAGCATAACTCCAGTTATAGTGGGGGGTGTTTAAAGTAACAGCCAGCAATATATCTATTCCAACTGGTCGGTGGGGTAGCCTAGCAGTTAAAGCGTTCTCTCGTCACGCCGAAGGCCCGGGTTCGATTCCACACGTGGGTACAAAGTGTGAAGCTCATTTTTTACGTCGCCCGCCGTGATAATACTTTTACATATTGTTAAAATCGGCGTAAAACCACACTCACTCACTCTATTCTAATCGTGTCCACAAGGTGTAGGTCCACCAACAGTATTCAGCTCAACAATGTGTAAACCTTCAGAACTGTAATGAGTTTACTATATTATTATGCCCCTTTGTAAACAGACAGTTTTTCCAATCTCCCTTTGTTATGCCCCTTTGTAAACAGACAGTTTTTCCAATCTCCCTTTGTTATGACCCTTTGTTAACAGACAGTTTTTCCAATCTCCCTTAAGTTTGTTATTCCCCTTTGTAAACCCTTAGAACGAACGCAAAATCTCCGATACATGACAACCTTCTCCCAGACCTTTCGGACGGAGCGATAAACGCCTCACATTTCTGCGTTGAAGGACACCGCCAGCGATTCAATCAATAATTTTCCAATTCTGCATTGCTTGCTGGGTTAAATCAGCGCAGCAAACATACATGTGATGGGTGTAGTTCTCGCTGTTTGATGTCATATGAAACATCACAGATAAATATTGTGGAGATCAGCTGTCACAATGAACGCTACAAGCAGATCTTTACGATAAAATATTCACCTCACCTTTGATAAGCCAGATATTTCGGACGGAGCGGTATTGAGGAAACCAGTACAGCTTCATTTTCGGGGCCCCTGTATCTGCCATTGTAAGATGGGTCGCAGGACAGTCGAGTCAGTGTCCGGGTACTAGTTGTCAAGAGTCGCGTCCCTTGCCACAGAATAACCGACAAAACTGGGTTATGAGAGAGGGATAATATGCAGACTCGACGGATGTGGGTCAATATACAGCCAACGACGCACAAGTGCCCTATTTCAAGCTGCTTGGGATTACCCTATTTTTCCGTCTAAGGGGTGTCAGGTCGGTTTGGGGAATATTGACGGGTAAAGGCCTACCATCAACCGAGCAATATATTTACCCTTTTGTCTCAATGATCAAAGATTGTACCTAATGCTACTAGATTTCACTTCTTTATTCTTTCAAAGCGATGTTTTTTGTACAGATGCTAGTACATTTGACAAGCAAGAACGATCTCTTAAAGTTACCAAGGTATAATGGCCTTTACAAGGATCACTGTTCAGACCTTGACATGTGATTAAGAAGTGACAAAGTATTTTAAATGGCTAACTACAAGTATTCAGTTACACAGGTATGAGGATCTAACAGAGATAGTGGGCTCTCAATTGTCGGATGTGGGTCCGTTGTTTCACAAAGGCAGGTCACCCCTGTTTTGTGTCTATTCACCGGGGAAGGGGGGGGGGGGGGGGGGGGGGGGGGGGGCACCCGACATTCAAACAATTTCTTCTTGAAAGATTTTTTAAGGTCACATTTCAAATTCAACCTATGGAAAGAATGTTACATTTTTCTCACTGTTCTCTAATACATAATAACTGTAAAGATGTAGGTGATTTTAAGACAGAACAATGAAAATAGCAGTATTATAGAACATGGTAGACACAATTTTATGGATAACAACTTCTTTAAAACTGGAAAAAGCGACGTTTCGGTATAGATCCTTATACCGTTCTCAAGCAAGACTGAATGAGGGACATAGTGCAGAATATAAATTGTAGGTGGAGGATATATTCTGTATATGGAGGATATCCTCTATAATTCTAAGTAATGCCTATCAAAGAAATTATAGAGCATTTTGATATGATAAAAATTCCAGTTTGAAAACGTGTCAACTTGACATGTTTATACACATAGCTACTTGAGGAATGTACTCTTCAATAACTAAGATTGTGGTTAATGGACATAAATAGCATGCCTTTTGATGTCAACTGACAAACAAAAGAAACGTTACAACGTTACAAAATGGTTGAGAATCAATCGCCTAAACACAACCAAAACAAAATGAGTAATGCACGCGCTACGGTACCCAGATCAGTGGAATTGAGTTTGAAGTGAGACTTTTGCTGCGCTTGCAGCTCGTCAACTTACAACGATATGGGTTTAAAAGGAATGATGTACTGTTCACTCACACACTCGCTAACATCATCACAAAATAGAAACAGGTGACGCCAGACCCATCAGGCTCCCTTTTTATAGGCAAATGCAGCCACAAGGAACGAATATACCAGACAGGTGCAAGAAATGGTAGAAGCCAATATCATTCAGCCAAGTTCTTCTGAAAGACAGTCTCCCGTTGTCATGGTTAAAAAGCGTGATTGCTGTTACCCCTTTGCCGTAGATTATAGACGCCTCAATGCCGTTACCAAGGCTATATCTTTCTCTCTACCACGTTTTGAAGATGTCGTTGATGCCGTTGACAACAGCCATGCCAAAATTGTAAGTGTACTTGTGGTAGCGGCTTTTGGCAAATACCACTCCATCCTGATACGACCCGTGAAGATCCGGGTAGAATAGATCTTCAGCAACCTGAAGCATCATCGTCCATTTCCGCCAAGGCCAAACGACCAGCTATATCATGGGGCAGAACCGCTGTCTCTGTATCCGAAAGCCGGACATATGGCAGTTGACTACCAAGTCGCGCCTCTTAGTTGTCAAGTAACACATACCCTCTCTCAAAATTCGTGTTAATATTAGTCCCAGTCAGAAAGATTTAGCATGCATTTTCTTTGAGAAGCGTCTTCAGCATATTTCTCTCTTTCATAATTTTATCTCAGGAACATACGTGGAAGTCTGAAAACCGGGTTATAAATGGCAGTTCGCTGATTTCAGATTTCCAAGTTGATGGAATATAAGAAGATGCCAGCACCCCTGGAATGGGTTATTTGTTGTGACATTTCGCGATTACAATAATGTTGGTTGGTTTGTTTGTTGTTTAACGCCGTATTCAGCAATATTCCAGCTACATGACGGCGATCTGTAAATAATCGAGTCTGGACCAGACTATCCAGTGATTAATATCATGAGCATCGATCCACGTAATTGGGATCGATGACATGCATCAACCAAGTCAGCGAGCCTGACCACCCGATCCCGTTAGTCGCGTTTTACGACAAGCATAGTCCCCTTTTACGGCAAGCATGGGTTGCTTAAGACCTTTTCTACCCCGGATCTTCACGTGTACGATTACAATAATGTATATGTATACATTGCCCATCCCTACTACTCATGATGTATTCTCGCCTCACATTCAGTACAACATTACAGTACGGGTAGACAAGCCGTAAGACACGCAAGGATCCTATGGTCGTGGGTTCGAATCCCGGTTCATCAGCACCATATCCGCGCTCGTTGGTTTCACCGAAGAAATAAACATCTTGGACCAGCATCACTTCGGGCTTGCCTCCCACATCAAGGGACACGTTGCGATATATACAATAATTATTGTGCATTTTATGTGGTGAACCACGCCTGGCTATTTGCAGTAGATAGGCACTGAGTGATTGAGTGAATGTTATTATTCAATTTAAATAACGGCCGACTACAAATAGTCGAGTCTGGAACAAAGCAGTGAGGAGAGGCATGGAGGTTTGATGACAAACAAACAATTCGGCCACCAGGGCTGAACCCCTCAGACGCCTGTCAGGACAAGCATGGGATGCTGGGGACCTATTCGTCTCCGACATCCGCATGAGCCAGACTCACACACAATGCTACTTAAGTGGGCAGTGTCACTCGTCTGAAGGTTAAAATATCGGCATAAATACACTAAAATTGTTTGCAAATTACATTACAATGTGTAAAGATTATAAGGTCGGACAATCTCCCCTCGTTAACTGTCAACGACTCAGTGCAGACTGGTTTCAGTCTCGACGAGGGATGATGAGACAATTGTGTACTGAATACCTGACACACCATGGGGATTCCGAGTTAGAATTGGTCCACAACAACCACAAGAGGCGACTAATATGATTGGATCGAGTGGTCACATTTGATGGCGTGGCATCGTACCCTGACGGCGTGGATCGTTGGGGCCAGACTCGACCATTTACAGGCTTCCGTATTATAGCTAGAGTCTTGCTGACGTTGGCGTTAAACAACAAACAAACAGTACTTGACTGTAGATCATGTGGATTGAGGCAAGCCTGACGTGACTCCCAATTATATTATAATGCACGCGTGTTAACTATGTGGATCCGTTCACGTCCCCAAATCTCGAAGATTCCAACCACACTTCTTTGCGTGCTGTTTAACGGCACACTCCGCATTATTTAACGGCGGTCTGAAAATAATCGAATTTGGACCAGACAAACTAGTGAATGATATTGTGAGCGAAGATCCACGCAGTCGCAGTACGATGAAACGCAATCAACCTAGTCAGTGGAATAACATCTGGTCTTTGAAATGAACATATTTTCAAAGAAATGATAGGGAATTACTCAAGAACCACCCCAAGATCAGAGAGGGATATTACGCTCGGCTTGAGATTTCAAGCAGCAATCACCATGGCTTAAACGGTCGCTTTGTTAGATCCAGGTAGTTGTGAAGGACCAAGAGTTATTACGTGTTGTGTATGATTAAAATTGGACGAAACATTATTAAAATTTTAATGTTTCTCCCGAGACTGTTTGTTTTTTCTTATTGTTCATGTAATATGTACTGAACTCGTTAGTGCGAATAAGACAGAGCATTGTATGTAAACAGTCATCTGTTGAAAACATCAGGATGTACCGAACTTCCTTTAACTCGAAGAAGACAACAGTGTGTTGCAATCGTTTGATGCTGTAACAGGTCACTGTGTTGTTTTGTTACATGAGGACATTTCTGGTTGGATTGGTCCCCAGCAACCTATGCTTGTCACAAGAGGTGGCTTATGGGTCGGGTAGCCATGCTTGGTTGATTGCGTTTCATTGTACCCCGACGTTAGGAACGTTTTACAAAATGCCAACCACTGGTTTGTCTGGCCTAGAATTGTATATTTACAGGATGCCATCTAAAAGTTGAAATATTGTCAACTGCGATGTAAATTAAAGCAACAAACAAAACAATTTCCACATACTATTAAATAAACTCAAGACAAATCACTGACTGACTATTTAATCACGTGCTCTTCCCCTTCTCAGCCATTGGGTCTGTCGACCCGTGAAGATCCGGGTAGAGAATAGGTCTTCAGCAACCCATTCTTGCCATAAAAGGCGACTATGCTTGTCGTAAGAGGCGACTAACGGGATCGGATGGTCAGGCTCGCTGACTTGGTTGATGCATGTCATCGTGGATCGATGCTCACGATATCTATCACTTGATTATCTGGACCAGACTCGACTATTTACAGACCGCCGTCATATAGCTGGAATATTGCTGTGTTAAATACTGAACAACAAAAGTTCCTGTGATATTGAAAAAAGATTTGATGCAAAGTTATGTTTTTAACCAAATCTGAAACAATTTCGGTTTGTAACAGATAAAAGACTCCTGTAAGTGTTCAAATGGTTTAATTTGCCACACTGACTTCAGAAAATGCGTGATTTCATAATAAACACCCATGAACATGCCAAAATGTCAATTTACAAATCAATAGCGTGTGTGTCCACCTCTGGTTGCGATGCAAGCAACACATCCTCGTCTCATGGAATGAACCAGGCGTCGCACAAAGTCCTGTAGGATATCTGTCCATATCTGCTGGAGCATGTTTCGAAGTTCCTGGAGTATCTATGGAACACGTGGTTGACGTCGAAGGCGCCGATCCATCTCATCCCACATGTGCTCGATTGGTGAGAGATCAGGGGAGCGAGCCGGCCAGGGGATGACATTCACGTTGTTTTGTTGAAGAGAATCCTGAACAAGTCGGGCAATATGAGGCCGGGCGTTGTCATGTTGAAAGGTAATGCCTTGGCCATGACGACGCAAAAACGGTAGAACAACAGGGCTGATGATCTCGTCGCGCGGTAGCGCTGTCCATTGAAATTTCCCTCTACC